CATAGAAAGGAGGGTCCCGACTTTGGGCAGAGGGAGTTTGGGGGAGTGGAAGGCCCCATCTCTGAGATGTGTGGGGTGTTTGTTTAGCGGGGATCTGAGAGGAGAAGGGCTCCTATCCCCAACAGGGAGGGGGGCTCAGGGAAATAGCTTTGGGGAAGTAGTTTAGGTATTTCCCATGCTGGAGGTGAAGGGGGTCCCTTGGTAAGGGGGGGGTGGCGTCCGGAGAGGTGAAGGGTGCGTGTTTCTAAAAGTGGAAGTGGTGTGGGGTTGCACGTGTGGCCGTATCAATCTGGGACAGGCAGTCTCTTTTTCTCAGAGGGGCCCCACGTGAAGTAGGGGAAGGTTAAAGGGTTGTTCGGACAGATGGAGGGGACAGGATCGCGGAGCACAGGGATCCCCTGTCTTGGGAGCAGAGGGCGGCCTCTTCGGATCGTTCCCCTGGTCGAGCTAGGGGGCAGTCCCCTCTCGGGAAAATCTGAGTGCTGGTGGTGAGAAGAGAGCTTTTCCTTGTGGGGCAGAGAGTGAAGTGCCTGTTGGGGTGGCCTTTCCTGTTTTAGGTTAGGTCTGCCAAGCTTCAGGGGCTTCTGATTGCGAGCTGTCTGTTAAGAGGGAATTTACTCTTTTTGAGAGGTGTATCCTTTGCTTTAACTTTTGACATACAGTGAAGGGAAGGTGGCTGTGCTGGGGGGGCGGGGGCAAACAAGGAACTTGTCAGCAGTTGTCCAAACTGAATACTGTAAATAACTTAAAAAGAGAGAGGGAGCCTCAGACTTAAATCTTCCCTGAAAGCACCAAGCCGGGAAGAGAGCGGAGGTATAAAGTGAGGGCTCCAGAAAGCCATTAATAAGTAGCAGTGCTTCAGTTTAATAAGAGCAGAGAAGCTGATGTTTTTCATTAATGATCCAGTTTCTCCTTTCTTTTTCTAAGCACACCCACAGTGTTAAACCCCAGTCTTGCAAATATGTAGGCTTGTGATTCACTTTATGAACACTGACGTCAGTGGAACTACTTATGCCTGGAAGGTTAGGTACAAGTGTTTTTAACGTGAGTGATGAGAAGGAGCATTTTAAAAAGTAATATCTGACCTGCCCAGAACTGAGACAAAAAAACCTGAAAGTCCCACAGGGCACAAGGACTGTGGCAGTCAAATGCATAGATATTAAATGCATAGAGGCTTCTGATTGTGGAGTAAGTTCTGCATGAGTGAGTAACTGTTTTGGGCTGTTTGCCCTTCGAGAGATCCTCCCTCTGCAGAGTTTCCTGGAGGACCCAAGTTTGCTGCATTAGGTGTTTGATGCCTGTCAGGAGCTGTGCTGTGATAATGGAACTTATTTGAAATGCTGCTTTCATGTTATCACACGTGTTGTATGAACTGGAAATAGCATTGGGCTTTTCCTCAGCGGTTTATTTCCATAAGCATCGTGTCTTTAGCACAGTGAACTAAAAATTGCTGGGTTCCTGAATTTTATGAATCAGGGGCTGCATATAATAACTGCACACTTGGAAAAACCACCACAGTTGGAAAAAGCTACGATTTTAAAATAGCCTTATAGAATGAGATGTGCTTTGGGAGGGAAGAATTGTTAAGGGCAATATTGCCTGATGAGATTTAGGGTGGGTTTGCTATTTGGTTTTACTTTACAGGGCTTGTGTTGCTGATTACTGGTTATAGCGTGTCACTGAGGACATGGTGAGATATTTCCTCATTAAAGAGATTGGGCCCTCTCTTAGAGCTTTTTGACTATTTTCTAGAATTATAGTTAAAGGAAACTAAAAGACAAATTCATTCCTCTTGGAATCACTGTTAAACTACATGGCACAGTACCCATGTGCACAGACGTTCATTTTAAAGAATGTTGTGAGGGAGTTAATGTATAGAATTTAAAGTCATTTTTTCATAGGACTGGCATACCAGTGTAACCCTGTCATGGACAAAAATACTATAGTTCCCTATAGTACCATAATAATTATAATTATGTTTGACGTAGTTCGGAATAGAGGCACTATTGTCTAGTAGATTGACCCAAAATGGGAACTCGTAGGTTCTGCTTCCCTTTATGACCTTGGACAAGTCACTAGAGTTCTCGAGGTTTGTTGCATCCTCTGCCAGTAGAGAACAGGGATGCTTCCCCCATGCTTAGCTGCTAGTGCTGGGGGCGGAAGGAGCACCTTGGAGAGGAAACTATGTTCTTAAAATGCTTTAAAAATCAAAATGATGTTGCACAATAAATGTGGACAGCTTTACCATTGCTTTTATAGGTTCTGCTCTTGGAACTGGAGCCACATGGGCAAGTCTTTGTGTTCATACAAGGCCCTGTTGAGGTAAGCGGGGTCACGCAGGAGCCCTGGTGTCTTGTGCTATCTGATCTGGTTGCAGGCTTAGCTGGTCTGTTGCCTTCTCTTGGTGTTTCGAGGCTTGCAACAAGAAAGTATGACAAATATTGGAGTCTGTTTATTGACTGTGTTGGGCCTAGCTCTGTATGGGAAGGTAGTGGGTCTGCTAGTCAGACAAGCCTTTGGATGTTAGTTATACCATGCTTTTTAAATGTCTATGCCTCACTTTCTTTTTTTGCATATCCTGCATTTATCACCTGGTAAATCAGCTTTCGGCAAATACTCATTCCCATGTGTAAAGATGTCCTTAGTGGACTTAGGAAAGAGGTTGCTAGAAGCAGCTCGCAAAGGCCAAGATGACGAAGTGCGAACGCTGATGGCAAACGGTGCTCCTTTCACCACTGACTGGGTACGTTGGAGAAATAGAGACGTTTTTCTGCCAGGGGCTGTTGCACAATGTTTAAACTATTCTTGGGGATTTGTTATTTGTTTAGAAAATATTTCTTTGAGGTACCATCTCTTAGTATTCTTTCCCAAATGGGTTGCATGTGTACTCTTTGGTACGGAACCTAAAGGATATGATTGGAAATTTGGGCAGTTAAAAAAAAAAAAGAAAAAAGAAAAAGAAAAATGTGGATTGACAGATATGCATCTTTGCGTTTCTGTGACAGTGCAGAGTTGTTCCAGATGAAGCACTTTAAATGCTAAGACCTTCCTCAGGCAGAGGTGAATTTACATGATGGACAGATTGATCTCTACCGAAGTGCTTGATGTTGCACTCTTACTTAATGTGCTATCCCAGATAGCAGTGTACTTAGGTTTTGATGCTTTAGGAGGTTCGGTTTCCAGAAGCTAAGATAATTTGTGAGTGAAATTGAATTGGAAGAATTGCTAAGCCTTCTAGTACTAGGAAGTTCTTTAAGAATGCTTTATTAAATTGGTTAAACCTTTCTCTGTCAAGGAAGTCATCTTTATTTAAAAAATAAATAAATAAAAACAAACCAGCCCATCCTGGGTAGGAAAGGAAATGAAAGCTTTAATGAAAATGAAGAATCCCAATTGGAAAAAGGGGGAACCTGACAACAGTGAATATGCCACCAGCAGGTATTTTCTGTCACCAGTTGTCTTAGTTTCCTGTCTCATCAGTCTGTTCTTCATTTCCCAAACCTATGCGTGCAATTGTCTGTATCAGGAGGAAGCAGAGCCTAGGCATATTTTAATACTGTCCTTATCTAAATAGTAATTAAATGATCTGTCATGGTATAGAAAAGGAAGAGCTGTTCTGTTTTTATCCTGGAAAGAAGCGCACTGATGCTCAGTGATAAGTGAATGGCACAGTGGAGAAAGTAAACGCGTGTTTGATCGTCAAGATATCAGATAAGATAAATATCCATAAAGGCTTAAGTCCATCAGGAAAAGTACTGGATGTACAACTGCCTATTTCTGAGTAAAGAGAAAAGCTGATATGCCTTTCTTCCAGAAGCCTAGTCATTCTAGTTCTTTAAAACTGCTGAGCGTACACATGGTAACTGTAACTGCTTTGCCTATCCTCTCTTGCTGTGAACTGACGGTAACTCTTCTAAATTAACATGCAGCTTGGGACATCGCCTCTTCACCTTGCTGCCCAGTATGGCCACTATTCAACGGCAGAAGTGCTGCTTCGAGCTGGTGTTAGCAGAGATGCCCGAACTAAAGTGGACAGGACTCCGTTACACATGGCTGCAGCAGACGGACACACTCATATTGTAGAATTGCTGATTAGGGTAAGCCTAGTGAGTTAGGTAGAACTCTTAATGCTCATCTAAAGGGACAGAATGCTTCCTCAGCAAGTTTGCTGATGATACAAAACTGGGAGGAGTGGCTGATACACCAGAAGGCTGTGCTGCCATTTAGAGGGACCTCGACAGGCTGGAGAGATGGGCAGAGAGGAACCTCCTGAAGTTCAACAAAGGCAAGTGCAGGGTCCTGCACCTCGGGAGGAATTATAACCCCGTGTACCAGTACAGGTTGGGGGCTGACGGAGAAGGACCTGGGAGTGCTGGTGGACAACAAGTTAAGCATGAGGCAGCAATGTGCCCTTGTGGCCAAGAAGGCCAAAGGTATTCTGGGGTTGCATGAGGCAGAGTGTTGCCAGCAGGTCGAGGGTCCCCTCTCCTCAGCCCTGGTGAGGCCACATCTGGAGTACTGTGTGCAATTCTGGGCTCCCCAGTGCAAGAGAGGCTTGGAACTCCTGGAGCGAGTCCAGTGAAGGGCTATTGAGATGATTAAGGGGCTGGAGCTCCTCTCATATGAGGAAAGGCTGCGAGAGCTGGGCCTGCTCAGCCTGGAGAAGAGAAGACTCGGGGGGTTATTATTAATGTGTGCAAGTATCTGAAGGGAAGGTGTCAAGAGGATAGGGCCAGACTCTTCTCCGTGGTGCCAAGTGATAGGACAAGAGGCAACCGGCACAAACTGAACTGCAGGAAGGTCCACCTGAACATGAGGGAAAGCTTCTTTGCTGTCAGGGTGACGGAGCACTGGCACAGGTTGCCCAGAGAGGTGGTGGAGTCTCCTTCCCTGGAGATAACTCAGAAGCCGTCTGGATGTGATCCTGCGCAACGTGCTCTAGAAGACCCTGTTTGATCAGGGAGGTTGGACTAGATGATCTCCAGAGATCCCTTCCAACCTCAAACATTCTGTGATAAATGGCTCTCAGAGTTAATTGTTGTCTGTTGAAATGCTAATGCAGGCGCTGCCTTTAAGACACAGTAGAGGAGGAAGCATCCTGCTAAAATGGCACTGCCATCTTACTCACCTGTCATAATTTTTTTTTACAAGCCATTTTACAAATAATTGAGGTGAGAGTGACTGAGGTTAAGATCAGAACAGTGACTGATATAACTGAGCTCTTGGAGGGGGTTTTGTTGTATGTTAAGTCATGCTTTGCATTGAGGGAAGGCGATGCTCTGACAAGTCATGCATGTTTCTTTCAGAATGGGGCTGATGTAAATGCCAAGGACATGCTGAAAATGACTGCTTTACACTGGGCAACAGAGCACAACCATCGAGACGTTGTAGAGTTGCTGATCAAATACGGAGCTGATGTCCATGCTTTCAGCAAGTTTGATAAATCTGCTTTTGATATTGCTTTGGACAAGAACAATCCAGAGACTCTGGTAATGTTACAGGTAGGTTGAGGAACCTGCAAGGACATGCAACTGCTGGAAACACTGGAACAGATGTTTCTTATGGAAACTTTGCTCAGATCAGAAACGTTGAGGTAACTTTTATAATATGCCAACCTGACATGGCATTGGGCTTGGTAAATTCCAGCTGTGGGTTCACTTGTCACCAGCACAGAATCTCTGAGCTAGGTGTGCAGAATCCCTTTCATGTCAACACAAAGGAGCAATCATCTCTGGCAGGTGATTCATAATATCCCAAGGTAGATGTCTAAATAAGCTAGATGACTCACTCTCTAGAAATGCTCGTTTCTCCCTGTAGATTAGTGAGGGAATCTGGGTGTCCACCCCAAGTGAATCTGTGCTCTAGTGAGAGGAACCCTGTTGTGTCTGATGGACTCACTTTCTGTTAGCAAAAAGAACTAGAAATAGGGAGGTAGATGACTTATTTCAAAATCAACCAGGAAGTGCGAGGACCTAGTGGGTAATGGGGTTTCTGTTGTCCTGCATCTTGCACAGTTAGTGTGCCACAGTAGTGTGAGTTGCCACGTTCAGGTGGCAGTTTTGTAAGAGCTTTTGTACTGATGTCGTTGGCACGCTACAGAGAGAAATAATCTGCCTCTAAACAGCTTCATGGATGCTAAGTACTGCTCAGCACAGAAGGCATGAAGGACATATGCCTAACCCTGCTCTTTTTCCTAGGAAGCAATGCAGAATCAGGTAAACACCCATCTAGAGCGAACGAATCCTGTTGCGAACACTCTGACCGTCACCTCACCATTTATTCTTGCATCAGGGGAGGTTCTCAATCTCGCTAGTCTTGTTTCTTCAGCAAACACCAAAACAACTTCGGGTAAGGTTTTATGTGACCTTGTGTGGGAAAACCTCAAATGCAGTTCTTGCCCTAACAGGTTCTTGGAGATGTGCCTCTTAATTCGACTGCTTACCAGTAGAGGGCAGATTGCTGTTTAGTAGAGGAAGAATGGTGACACATAGCCAAACACACCGAGCTACTACATTTAGCCTCAAAATATTTTTGCTGTTGAAGGTAATAAAGCAGATTTCTAGCTGACGTAAGTAGAGGTGGTTCCACTGTAAGTGGCAAAGCTCTGCTGAGCTCAGCTGTGGGTCTGCTCCAGGTCTGTTATGAGCAACAGAGCTTGAGAAAATGGATTTGGATGATTGCAACAGAAGAATAACGGGAGTTATTGCCTGTGCCAAATCCTTGGTGTTACACAGCAGTCAAGGAATGGTTTGCTTTGTTCTTTATTGGCTACAAAAGCTGAATGAATATTTTGGTGTGTATGAATATTGAGTCCTTGTAGAGGAAGCAGGCTGGTTGGATATGTAGATTACTCCTTATTTGACCTGGACCAAATGTTAGACAGAAATAGAGTGTTAGAGTGCTCATTGTTCTGTAAGCCATGTTTTGGTGGGGAAAACACTTTAACTTAAGGCTGACTGCAAATTGTTTTCCTAATTTCAAATACTTTTCCTATAGTTCCAGTTTTCCTAGTAACTCTACAGTTACTTTCCTGTATTTGGGGAAATCAGAACCGTTGTTTCTTTTCAGCCTCAAGGGGGCTAGTAAATACAAGTTTTGTGAAGCTGTTTGGCTTCATCCTGCAAACACTTCTGCATGTGAGTAATTCTTTGGTTAGTGGGACTGTTCATGCGTGTGAATGTTTGCCTCTTAACTAGAGTGCCTTTAAAAACTTGAATACTGGTATTCTGCAGTCCCACTGAGACCTCTCTGCCTGTGCATGACCACAGTGACTTCAGCAGTGCTCCAGACTTATTCTCAAAGCTTTCAGTGCTGCTCACAGCTTCAAGGGACTTTTCAGAGACAACAAATCCCAACCTAGAAGAGGCAAAACTAGTAGAAGTGTTCGTGTTCAATCTGTGAGGAAAATGTGATGTAATGGACATAGAATATCTTCTGTAAAGGCTGGAAGACTAGAAAGGATCTTGTGTGGTTTTTTTTGTTTTTGTTTTTTTTTTTTGGTATGCCAGATGATTCCCTCGCCACAGCCAGTGTCACTATTGCAAACGTATCTAGCTCAGTCTTGAAATGAGCTAGGAGTCGCAGAGGCCAATGCCTTGTTGAAAGGCTGTTGAAGAATCACACTGTGCCAAATCAGAAAACTGATTTCCAGCTTAAACGTGTTCGCAGTTGCCTTGTACCTCTTATTCTGGTGCCGAAGCTGTCCTTCAGCTGAGATCGTTCTTTTTCTGTTGTGTCCATTCCTCCAATGCAGAAATCAACTGTATCCCCTCCCCACCTTTGCTTGGCTGGATTAAGCAAGCCAGTCACCCTTGGTCGCTGTTCCAGTCTGAATCCATCCTTGGTACATCAGTGAGCAGCTGCAGGTGGTGCTCAAGCGAGCTCAGCACCAGCCTTGCAGCTCCCCGTCTCTCACTGCACCTTTCCTCGTATACCCTGCAGTTTAATCGCCTTTATGAGGGCCACCTCAAGGTGATGGCTTATTGTCCCCGTATAACTCAAATAAAATACCCAGGGTCTTTCCTCCCACGACACTTGCAACATCTGCAGCAGCGGATCAGCATTGAAATGATGAGTGTCAAGAGTGCCCCTGCTCTAGGCCGCATCAGGAGGTTTTTTCCTCACTTCCCACAAGAGGGCATCAGTGGCTGTGTTTTCACTACAACAAAAATCTGTCGCTTAACCGTTGTACAATTTTTTTTTTTTTTTTGCTTCTCTTAAATTTCTAGTATCTTCAGTTTATTTAAAAATATTTTGAATGAGAATAACTATCTTCAGCTGCCATGAAAAAATCTGGTTTAGAAATGTTACAAACTGCTGAAAATAGTTACTAAGCCCACAGTATTTTCATGTGCCTAGCCCATGGCCTTTTGAAAGACTGCCCTTTGGGAATAAATCCCTCCATAACCTTCACAAAGTCAAGGAGCTAGTGAGACAGAGAGAATAGGTTGCGGGGTTAAGGCAGGGGAGCTCTAGATGAACTTCCCTTTGTATTATCCTTATGTGCTTATAATCCACCCTGGCAATGAAGCACAGGATTTTTTAAGAGGAACTGTGGGTTGTATGCATGCGAATAAAGTACTGAGGTTGCACCCATTTAGTTCAGTTTCCTGTTCCGTTCTTATTACCTCCGACTTTGAATAGGAATTACTATGGTCAATTGAAGGAAGAAACATTGTGTTTTGGAACTGAGAAGACTTGTTTATCTTACTCAAATCAATACGCTATTGCAGCAGCCTTGGTGTGTTTTTTTTTTTTTTTTTTTCTTCTCCATTACTAAACCTGAGAGGGGAAGAGAGAGGCTCTGCTCGGTATGTTGAAATAAAGTGATATACTCAGCTGATTTTTGCATTTGAGTAAAAGGCTCTGTTAGTTGACTTGTGATAAAACATTTGTTCTCTGAAGTAATGCTGAAGACAGTACCTGGAGACTTTCCCAGTTGAGTAAGAACTTGGGTAGTACAGCTTACTCACAATAGTTTAATATATTCTTCAGCATTTGCAATTTTGGAAGTTACAGTACGATGCAAAGCCAAGTAATTATGTGCATAGCAACCACTTCACAACACTACAGCAATCAGACCTCAGCACATCTGTGAATTTTGTCAGACAGCATGGCTACATCTTGAAAAAACATCCACGTCTCCAAATCAAAGCTCGGCGTTAGCCCAGCAGACAGCCTGACTTTCTGCAGCTTTTGCAATAAGGCTGGAGCAAATCAGTTCAGTTGATATCGGTCAGTGATTTAAAGGAATATTTGTTTTACATTTGATTTAAATTGTAATATTCAGAGTAGATGCTGTCTGTCCTAAAGTATTACCAAAACCCCTTTTACAGCTAAAAGGAGAGGCACCTCTCGCGAAACGTGATCTGTTCCACTTCCCTTTTTCCACTGACCACTGGGAGCCCAACAGGTACCTTGTGCTACAGTCTGACTAGGTGACAGAATTGTAACGAGCTGGCTGCTGTGTTCGCTGTTTAGGGCATGGTAGGTCCGAAAATCCTTCAGCTTGCCCTCATCTCTCCCAAGCAGGTGATTCAGATGTATCCACAGTGCAGTTTTCCAATTCAACGACCTCTGTGCTTGCCACGCTTGCGGCCCTTGCTGAAGCTTCAGCCCCCCTTTCCAACTCAAACAGAGCTACAGGTAGGGGAAACTGTTTGGACGCTGATCCAAGTTTGTATAATGTTAGTAGGTATCTTACCAGGACTTGGAGGGAATTGAAGGTATCTGGGTGCAACCTGTGAGTGGATTTGACCTGACTGATGGTAATTAAGAGATGTTGTTAAATATATGTGATGTAGTGGGTTGATACTAGCTCAAACTAAATTCAAAAAACAGCAGCTGTTGCTGACAGAAACGACTATTCATACTTACTATCCAGCCTGTCCTGTTCTGACCCTGCCATCGCGTGTTGCTTTTGACGTGCCTAAGCAGTTACAAAAATACTCCAGAACATGGATTTTATCTTTTATACATAAACGTAGATAAATATTTGTTTAAGAAGGAAACTGTTTGAAATTTTTTATGTCCCCGGCTTGCCAGTTTGTTCAATTTCATGTCCTTATAAAATCTTGATATTTAACAAATGCTTTGAGTCTCTTGAGGATCTGGTAACTTTTTCTTTTGGAAAGCTGTCCTGTTCTGTTTTGTTTCCTTTTATGATCTTTTATGGTATGTTTGTAGAGTGTGATGTTTGACCTCTAATTAACTTCAGATTTAGGAATTGGATAGTTAAAGCTTATGTAATCCTTTCACCTTTGATTTCATTTTTTTCCCCAAAGCTAAGCATTTTTCCTTGAATCTATAGAGATGAGCAATTTGACTTGTTTAAGCTGATGGTGTCACACCACTAATTTCTTGACCTTTGGTGCTTGAATGCTTTCCTCTCTGGCACCCAAAGCGTGCGTAGTAGGTCAAGTACCCTCTGTTTCCTGTACTTGCAGTGTACACTGGGAGCAGGATGCAGCTGAGGGTTTGCAGTCCTGTTTGCAGTCCTGATTATTTGTGTGAGCTGTAAGTCATACAGAAAGTGTCCTGGAGAGCTAAACAGGTTTGCAGTCATCCAGCCAAACTAAATAGCATCCTTGTGGTTGGTTTGGTTGGGCTTGTGTGGATGGGGCTCTTGAGGCACGAAGTGTTTTGAGTGTGGTTTGTCCCCCTTAGAGTTGGGGGAAGGGTCACTTAAGGAAGCTTTGGGGAGTCAGGTCTGCTTAACAGCTGCCTCCAGCACTGAGCTTTTTAATTTAATTAATTAGCTTGGTTGCTAGTGCTTTATCTCATTAAATTAAATTAAGTGAAAAATGATGTTTTTATTTGAGAAAACTTATTCTACTAAGGTGTAGTGGGGTTTGTTTCCCAGTAAGACTTACTGTATTTACAGATTTTTTTTCTCCGAAGCAGGTGTTCCAGACTTCTGATCTGGCATACTTGAGCTTTTTCACTAGGCTTCAGTTTCTATTCAAGGAAGAGAAAAGGAAATACTGACTTTTTTGGCACTTACTTTATTCCTCAAGGTAACATGGAGGAAATAGTGGAAGCAAATTCTGTTGATTCTGCCATACAACAAGTGGTTGGCAGCGGAGGCCAGCGAGTTATCACAATTGTAACAGATGGAGTTCCCCTGGGCAGCCTGCAAACAGCCATCCCCAGGAGTAGCCTCAGCCAGCCGTTCATTGTAACCATGCAGGATGGACAGCAAGGTAAGGAGTAGCTGAACTCAGAAGGCTGCCAGCCAACGCTGAGAGCTGAGCTTTAAAAAGAAAAGAAAAAAAAAGATACTGGTATCTGTGAACCTTCTTGAGCTGTGCAGGGCAGGCTGTTTGAACAATTTGGCTTGCAGACCCTGTGGTATAATAGGTTCATGCTCTACTGCTGGGGTTAAAAAAGTTTAAAAAAAGGAAGGGTTAAAAAGTTCACGTGATTCACTTCAGTGATAAAGCTTGACAGTGACTTGTTTGTAGTTTAATACGCATCCGTGCTGCTACACTGAAATATTTTAATCTTTGTGTTAAAACCAAACACCCTCATTGTAAAATGTCAGGAGGAAGAGAAATGCAAAGTTAGCTGCTGTCTCCTTGGCAGCCAGGCAAAGATCGTTCCTTTACCCTGTGGTAGTCTTCCCAGTCTGGGAGCAGACTGCTTGACCAGTGAAACTGCAAGCTGTTGCCTTTAGCAATTACCCCATTGTTCTTGCCAAACAAGACATTGGGACGTTTACTGGGACATTACGGTAAGGTCAAATATACCTTTTCCTCCCATTACTCTAGCTACGCTGCCTAAGGCAACATAATCTGTCAGTTTTACAAGGCAGGTGTGTAGTGTATTGTGTCCATTAAAGCAGTGCAGAGTTCTAGAGCACTTGCATAGTGAATTTTTATTTCCCCGAGGGATGTAATTCCTCTGCCTGGTCTACTACCTATAATTCTTGTAACATATCCTAGGGATACTTGGTTATGTGAATTGATATTTGGGGGAGGGAGAGGGAGAAGAGGATTGAAAAGTAAAATAGCTCTCCTGTAACATGCTATGTTACAGTGTTACAATGTTACAGTGTGGGATGGGTTACGTCACTTCTGTCAGTTTATAGTCTTTGTGAGTGGAAAGCAATTTTCTAAAGCCTGTTAATTATTCAGAATTATTTGCCAAATAATTCCAGGCTTGTAACCCATTCTTAGTCTAAGGAAGACAAAAGGCGAACTGTTTAGGTGGAGCTACCTTCAATAGCTCACGTGGTACATTTCTTCTCTTTCGTTGGATGAATTCTTGCTACTGGCTTCCCAAAGTGAAAACTCATGTTTGCAGATTTAAAACGCATTTGTTCCCTGGCATATTTGCATCTATTGCATATGCTTAAAGCTGATTCTGAGCTTAACCAGCAGGACTGTCTGTACTGGGAACTTTTGAGAGTAGCTTTCTATTCCTCTTGTTTAACCTGTCTTGCCTGTTACTGAACCATCAAAATGATAACGTTACTTTACATATTTCCTAAGATACAAACCTTTGACTTTGGATTCCACCAGCCCTGTTTTGGTGATGGGACTCTGGAATAACTGCTTGCTTCCTATGGCAGACAGCCTAAAACAAAGGCCTGAATGAAGAAAACTGCAAAGCTGCTCCAGAGTTCCTCTCTAGGAAGACTTAGGCATTGCTGATCCACAGTTCTCCTCTTTTTCTCCAGAACCACACAGATGTGCTAATTTCAAAGTGGTCTTTCAGGAAACATCTCTGCCAAGCATGTCTCACACTGTATAATTTCTCATCTTTGATTTTTCAGTTTTAACTGTACCTGCTGGTCAGGTTGCAGAAGAGACTATTATTGAGGACGGTGATGATGCAGAAGAGGAAGAAGAGCCACCAGCCAAGAAGCAAAAAGCAGAAGAAAATGTCAGTGACTTGGAGGAAGACAAGGTAGACGCTCCTGTTTGTAACTGACTGCGATTGTCTCCTGTGTGTTTCTCTACTGCGCTAAGGGTGTCGGGCTGCTGGCCTGCTGAAGCCGTAGAATTGAGTTGCGCCCTGTTCAACTGAATCAGAGGATATCTCTGTACCATGCTCTGCACAATTGTTCCCTGCTTTCCCGTTTATGTTCCTGCCTTAGAAAGGAGTGTGCAAGCAGTTGAGACGAGCAATATTCAGTTTATTACAGCACTGCCTTAAGACCGTTTTGCTCTTGTAACCTGAAACGTGCACTATTCTAATACTTGCATGCGCCTTCCTGTTGCACCCCCATCATGGGCTCTCTTGACTTGTTTTCTGTAGGACAGCGATGAAAGGGAAGTGCTACAGCAGCAGTTGCAAGAAGCAAACCGGAAGGCTCAGGAATATCGAAGCCAACTCATGAAGAAAGAGCAAGAGGCAGAGCAATACCGGCTTAAGCTAGCAGCCATGGTTAGGCAGCAGCCTAACGGGACTGAAGTAACGGTGCTCGAAGAGGTTGCTGAGGTGGACGCGGTTGTGGTAACCACGGAAGATGCAGAAGGATCTGCAATGCCTGTGGTGGAAATGGATCAGCCAACCGATATTGCTGTGGAAACTGTAACCTCCTAATTCTGGGTTATTGACTTTGTTTTGTAAAGAAGAATAACAATTTTTTTTTAATATATAAAAGATGCTGTCAGCAGGCAGCATTGGGAGCAGAGGGCTGTTGTCAGATTGTCAGATCCACTGCACAACTGGAAGATCGTGTGATGGGACTGCCTATGTTGTCCCATCAACAGGGATAAAAGCTTGTTCAGCAGCTCACAATGTAACTGCTTTCAGCACAGCACCAAAAGGTGCTTTTAAAGCTTGACCTTGAATGATTGGAAGCTTTTACAAATTTTAGCCAGCAAGTGACCTGAAGGCTTATTTTGTGGTGTTAATACCTGCATTGTTGGGAGTGGAAAAGAAGTACCTCAATGCCAAAGTAGCTGGTATTAGCTCTCAGCTGCCCTGAAATTACAGCACTGAAAACAGGCTTTATGCAATGACCTGAGATGTTTGCTCCCTTCTGTGAAGTTGAGTGACCGGATCTTGACCTTTAGAAAAGCGATCTCTTGGGGTGTTTGTTTTGCTTTAAAATCTTAAGTGGTGATGGTGGGGTTTCACCACCTAAAAGCAAGCTAGAAAATGAATTGGACTGGAACAATTATATGGGTTTTTTGGTGGGTTTTCTTTCTGTTTTTTTTTTTTTTTTCCCAAAGAAATGAAGCTAGTTCACATTGAGGCAACCTTCAGTGGAAGAGCAAAGCCCAGGCTGAGTGTGTGCGAACTTGAGCATTTCGAGATATCAGGGAATATTACACTTAGTCCTCTTTGGATTGTTTTAGGAACAGTTTTGGGCAGCTCTACAGCAGACTTAACTACCTGAAGGGATCACAAAAAATTCCTTATCAGTTTTATGAAACTTGGTCAAATGTTCTGTTTGACTCTCTTGTGCTGAACAGTAGTGCTAACTCTGATTATATATGCAAAACTAAACATACGGCAGTTGCTGTAAGACAGCTTGGGAGTTTAGATGTCTCTGGAGATAGAGATGTGACTTTTTTACTAAACAGTTTTTAAATATTCTGAAACCTTTTTTAACAAGCAGCTGATTTTGTTACTAAAGTGTTGTATTTTTTTTTTTTTTTACTCTTTGCAGGCTTCTTTACTAAAGAGAGTACCTAAATGCTTTTCTCTTTGCAGGCTTGTAGATTATGCGTTTCAAGAGAGCAGGGAAACTGATCGGAAGTGCTCTGAATCAAGCTCGTGTGGAGCTTGATAATGAAAGATTGTTCTGTCTCCGTAACCATGAGGGGAAACAAGTGAAGTTGAGAAAAATACCATAATGCAAGCTGTTCAATTGGTTGCAAAAAGGTTACAAAGGCTAGAAATGACTTCTAGCTCCAAAGGCCCTAGCAGCTGGCCTGCTTTCTGAAGGCGTTCTGAAATGTCTCCTTGCAGAGATAAAAATTCATTGCTGCTCTGGCCCATAGTTTTTTGTTTTCTTGTCTTAGTTTTGTAACTGTTGGCAGTATTCATGGTAATCATTCAATTTCATGGTCCTTGCGTTGCTTTTTTCCCTGTTGTTTCCAAGTGTGTCCAGATAATAGGGTTTTATGTTGGTTCAGATACTGCCTCTATTACATTTCTTTGCTGATAGATAAGCCCATATTGTGATGTTTGAGATGTAACAGAGACTTGTGTATTCATTAAGCTATGAACTTAGTCTCAGGTCTGAATGAGTTTGTCACCCCAAGAAGAAACCGCTTTTTGTCATAAAAGCAGCCTTCAAGGTTATGGATTAGTCACTACTGCAGAGCAGTTGGTTTCTGATCGGTGCTGGAGGCTTTGCAGGTCAGCTCTCGACGAAGTGTTGTGGCCTTTTTTTTGTGCTGGCACCCATGTATCGAACAAACAGTTGGGAGACTTTGCTGCAGTTTAACAGCGCGCATTCGCTTCTCTCCCACACTGGAACTCTTGCATCTGGACTCTTAGTAAGAGTCTTGTTCTTGGAGTGCTCGTATCCAGCACCCTTTGTTTTATTGGACCATGTACTTTGGTCTGAAAGAAAGGTTGGATCTGTCAAAATGACATATTTGGCAACATTAAACAGTGTTTAACTGGTTGGGTTCACCAACAAGTTTTAGGAAAGAAAGGTTTATGAAACTGTTATTGTAAAAGCTTCATGAGACTTGCTGGTTTTGAAAATCTTAAGTGCATTTATTTATAACCAGTGTAGCTATATTTATAAAACTTTTTATCTTTTTCCAAAAGATGTTTTGAAGAAGGCTTTAATAATTATTTTGAATGAATGGCTGTTTGGAGAAACTTAGTTCCTGACTATTGATTACTTCAGTTCTCTGAAGTCAGTATTCCTTTCTGGCTTCAAGCATGTGTTAAGTTATTTTCTATTGTTTCCCAGCACATCAAACATTCAGGTCTGTTTGAACTGCAAATCTGTATTGGAAGGTCTGAGATGGTATCAAAGTAAATCTAGACAGATTCTTCTAGTATGTTGTACCCAGAAATGTTTACAGATGTAAAGGGACACTGCCAACTTTGAATTTTACGTTTTGCCTGTAGTTAGTGGTTATTATTTGTAAATTTGAAGCGTTCTACAGCTGAGGCAGCTGTAGTATAAATACTGTGTTGTGCCTTAGACAACACTTTGATTCTCATTTCTTTCCATGCTTCCCCTGCCCAGGGTCAGTTGCGCAAAAAGTCCCTTCAGCTGGGAAACAAACTTCCCCTTCAGAAGAGAAGAAAAAAGTCCATGGCGTTCACGGTAATTGGATTGCTTGTATAGAATTGGAACAAATAAAGCTGACAGTGTTATTAGTGCTTCGCCTTGTGGGGGGAATCACACGTTAATTTTATTTTTAGAAGTACTTGCTTACAGGGTCTGAACAAAGACTGAGAAGTATTTGATCTATGCCCAGCATTTAGAAAGAATTTAAACTCGCCTGTATCCTCTGCTGTGCCACAGAAAGGATTGGAGGTTTTTAAGCAAAGAACAGCAGTTTTCTTGTCAATGCAGAATCAGATGTGGCAGTGTAGGTCTGTTGTTGCTGGCGGGAGTAAGTGGTGGGTTTGTAGCATGTAAATAACCTTTCCTGGTGCACCCTCCCACTGAAACAAGGGGCTGGACTTGGCGGTGTAGGAGCTTTCATTATCCACCCCTTCTCAGTCCTAGCACTTTTTTAACTGGCCATTACTGTAGGAGCACAGGATTTTAAAAGGTCAAAGGCTAAATAAACGCTTTGCTCCTAATGCTGCGTTGTTACTGACGCGGAGCACTCACGATCCTGTCCTCCCACGCATCCAGCCTGACTTCCCGTCCTGGCTCAGGCTCATCTGCAAGCTTGGAATTGCATCTGTCGTCATGTGTGTATTTGGAAGAGCAAAAGAAACCTGACCAATTTCCCAGGGACACTTATGCAGGAGTTCTGGTTTTAATTCAATTCTTTCCCCTTTTCAGTCATCTGAAAATGTTAATATTTCTGTCCTCCCAAAGGGCATCAAGCATCCAGCTGTCCGGCTCCAGTCAGTTTGGCCTGAAGGACCCCTTGCACAGATAAAGCTTGCTGGGCTGAGATTTGGGTTTTTTTTTTTTTTGAGTCCTGACTAGAATTTACTTCCCATCTGCCTGTGCCAAGAGTTCGACCCACATATTGTTAACCTGAGTTGTTTCTCCTCAGTGGTGGTGATGATTTGGTGCTAATTGAACCAGCAGTTTAGCTTTGATTAGACATATATTTCCCTGTTGTTGCAGTAGCTGAATATAAATGCTTTCCATTATCCTAAATAGGAAGCAGGGCAATGTAAATCCTGTCCAGGGACAAGAAAAGGAATCTTCTGCCAGTCATGTAAATGTGAACTAAATCTTCAGCATACCATTTAGGGATTCATTTAGGCTGAAATAATAAACCCTGTGAGTTAAGCTGCGAGTGCCTTACTGGAAAGCTCCCAGCGAGGGGGTTTCCTTGTCCCCGCTGTCGAATTCCCCTTCAGTCCTGGCAGGATTGCCTGTGATGTGGTTCTCTGTGTTCATCAGCCTCTGCCGGATCGGAGCGTTTCTCTAATCCCACCTCTATTGTGTCATTTTTTTGCTCCATGCCAGCCATGGCACTCGAGTGTGTATTTATTGCAGAGCTGCATTTGCCACTTCATGCGGCGAGTCTGTTTTGGATCCAGTTCACGCTGTGATTCGGAACTGAAGTGCCCCGAATTGCAAGGAGTTCCTAATAGCTTTATGTACAGGATCCTTTTCAGAAAGCGCAAGTATTCCTTTTTATATTTAGGATAATGTTTGCAAATGTTGAGGTTTCAATGTGTATATACACTTTTTGTACTATATTTCTTAATAAAATGCCACATCCTCTGTGACCAGCTTTCCTAGTCTTTGCTGCTGTGCTCTTTGCATGGATCTTTGCACTTAGAGGGACTCGGGTAGCTTCTCTGATGGCTTGTAAGGGTTGAGCTGGTGCAGGGTGCTCTCTGCGGCAGGGTGCTGAGTGTCTGTGCGGGTCTTTTTCCCCTTCACCCCACCCACCCACCCACTTCCCCTAAACCCCGTAGAGCCTAGTGTCTTTGAGGCCTTGCCCCTTCAGCTGTATAACGAGTTTGAGGTCATCAGTTAGCAGCTGCAATAAAAGCAGCTCAAAGAAACCCTGGTGGGGAGGAGAGCAGTGTTTTGTGCTTCCCCAGGGATGGGAGCTGCATCCCCCTTGCTTCCCGTGTGGGTGCTCAGGCTGGATGGCACCTGTGGCTGGGGTCCCTGCAGCCTGCGAGTGTGTACCCATCGTATGTGTGTTATGAGTTGCCGGCAAGAAATCTAAACCCCAGTTGCCCCCGCAAAGCAGGGATGGATGGAGCTGGGGTGATGAGCAGCCCTGGGCTGAGGAGGGAAGAGGAGGACAATGGCTGCTGGCTGTGTGCTGGGGCCTGCAAGGGGAGCACTGGGTTGGAGTGAGCGTCACAACACACATGCGCACGGGCACAAGTGTGCAAGCAACTATGCATGCACAGGTGTGTGTGCACAAGTGCACTCATGTGAGCACAAACATGCATTCAGTGTGCTGTGTACATGTGTGTGTATGTACATGAGTGTACACAAAAATACACACACGCCCCTGCATCCTTTAACACCCTTTTCCCCATCTCACACAATTCATGAGTCCTAACCCTTTACCCCTGCCGCTTGCCCCTTCGTGCAAATGCAGAGGTCCTGTGGTGTCCTGTGTGCCCCCACATTGTTCCCTCGTGACCCATTATTCTCTGCGCACCCCATTGTTGCCAGCTCGCCTCAAGCCATATGAACCCCCTTGCATTCCCCCCACCCCACCCCCAAACCCCAGACAAAGCCAGGCGGACACCAGAGCATGGAGAAACCGTGTAATTGCTGCAGGCACCTGGGGCCCAGCGTGGGGCTGAGCCCCAGTCCTACATGGTAGGATGAACCGAGCGCCGGCGTGGTGAGCTCCTGCGCCCAGCGCCCTTCTGTGGCCCCTGGGTCCCCAAGGTGGCCGTGGCCATTGGTGAGGGGCTGTGCTGTGTTGATGGCTCCAACAGCCCCCAAAGTGGTGAATAAATTAAAAAGGAAAGAGCCCTAGGGGAGCTGGTGGGGACAGGGACCTCATCATCCAGGGCTGGGACAGGAGGATGGCTGGGGACATGGGGACCACCAGAACCTGGGACATGAGGGTGGCTGGAGAAACAGGGACCCTGACACCAGGGGCTGGGAGACCAGGATGGCTTGGGGACATGGGGACCTCTGTGACCTGGGGCAGGGAGACAGGGGTGGTCAGGGATGCAGGGACCCTTGTCACCTGAGGCAGGGAGACTGGCTGGGGATGCCGGGACCCCATCGTCCAGGGCTGGGAGATGTGGGCAGCTGGGGATATGGGGACCCCTATCACCTAAGGGCAGGGAGATGGGGGCAGCTTGGGCACCCCTGTCCCAGTGTCCCACCTCTGAGGCTCTGTCCTGGAAGGGGGGGGACACAAGGATGTCCCCATGTCCCTGGTGTAGCTCAGGGCCGCCCAGGGGCCACGGGCACCAGGAGGGGTTTGGGCAGCAGCTGGGGCTTGGCAGAAAGCGAGCGCTCAAGGGCGCCGTGCCGGGGTGCCCGCACC